CATAGACACAGCCTTAGCCTTTGAGTGTGAAGTGCTGCCAAGCCTCCTTCAGGGGAAATGGCCCTTTGGCATGTCCACCTGTCTGATAAACTCTGTCCTTATTTTTGTCCTTTGAGCACTCAGACCTGTTTAACAAGTTAGAAACCCTAGCCCGTTTGGGTACCCTGGGCTGCCTCTGATCTAGACCGTCGTGGTTAGATCATTGTAGCTGTGCCAGTCCTAGAATATTTTAGATGGTACAGAGATAGCATTGGGGAAAAATAAATGGCACCCCTTCAGGAATCTGCTGCCCGTCCTGTAGAAAACAGTCATGTGAGCTGTGGGGCCTCACTGGTTTTCAGACGAATGCACAGCTTGTACTTAGCTAGAGCTAGTGATCAAGCTAATGTGTTGGTTCTTCCTCGAATCTACTCCCGACAGGTCTTTGGGGCCTTGCTCAGCCCAGGGTCCTGAAAACTACATGGCAAAGTTGTTGAAATGACCAAGGGTTACTCAGATCTGCTGGCATCTAAATACACTGCGAACACATTCACACACACTGAATAATGCACGTTCGCTTTCAATGCACTTACAGCTATTGTTTGCAAGTGGATTTTGCCATTTCATACATTAAAATCCAGTTGCAAAGTGGACTGAAAGTGCCTTAAAAGCATATTGTTCAGCATGTGTGGAAGCGTCCTGTGTCTCCAGCTTTATCTGGGTGGTGCATCCATCAGAGTTTTTATTACAAAGACCCATAGCTGTCCATATGCAAACTATCGTGTCAAAAGGATGAAAATAAGGAACAATGCCATTTGCATTTCATCAGAAGCAGCTTCACTACTATCTGTTTAGCTTTCATGTTGAATGCACAGACTACTTTAGACTGCCTTCATTTCCCATAATTCCTCTCAGCTACATTAATTGACATTCCTATTTTACATCTTTGAAAGGCAGTGACCTACTCAGGGTCATGCAGTGAATCTGCTCCCAATTATTATTGTTGGCACAGTTTGGGGGGCCTGTGAGGGATTTTGTGTGGGAAAATGTGCTCCTCTGGGCTAGAACCCCATGGTCTGTTGCTCTAGCAGGATTACCTAGGACGTTCAGGTTCAAGGTGAGGTGAGCAGGAAAATGCTCTTCTATCCCTGAGCCTGCAGGCCTGGTCATACACGACACTGTTTCCTGGTCTGCCCTGGATCCTGTCAAACCTGACATGCATGGGAAATTCCAGCACACATCAGATTGGACAGGACCCACAGTGGACTCAGAGACAATGTCAAGTGTGGCAAGGCCAACTTTTTACCACCTCCTCTAGGGTACTATAAAGGAGAGTCGGAGAGCAGGAAACTGACATGTGTTTACACCACCACCACCCCCATGAAACACATGAAAACGTGAAGCTGCCTTATACCGAATCAGACCATTGGTCCATCACAGTCAGTATTCTCTGCACAGACTGGCGGCAGCTCTCTGGGGACTCAGTCTTTCACATCCCCTACTGCCAGATTCTTTAACTGAAAATGCCGGGGATTGAACCTGGGACCTTCTGAATGCCAAGCAGAGGCCCTTCCCCTGAGCCATGGCCCCTCCCCTTAGTCCCAGGATTCTGTAAACTATCAGGAACTCTGCCCATTTCATAGTTTAGCTGTGGTACTCACTCCGTGGCTCATGGAGAGCCACTTTTGCAATTACCATCAAGAAGAAGAAGAGGAGGAGGAGGAGGAGATTGGATTTATATCACACCCTTCACTACCCAAAGGAGTCTCAGAGCGGCTTACAAACTCCTTTCCCTTCCCCTCCCCACAACAGACACCCTGTGATGTAGGTGGTGTCCAGTTCTCCCAGATTAGAGTCTGCACACTTAACCACTACACCAAAACATCCATCCCTGGCATGAGGTCTGCACCTCAGGAGGTCTATAAGCTTACCCACTTCTCCAGTTGGAGCTTGGGTGGGAACAGCCTGCCGACCACAAGCCCCACTGTGCAGGGGCCTTGCCCACTTTCCTGAGACGTGGGGCAGTTGCCACATTGGGGAGCAGTGCTCAGAAGAGCTGCAAGTAGCCTGTCAAAGAGCTGCATGTGAGTCCCCAGCCACTGAATGAGTATCACTGGTTAAAAGAATCCTCAGTGATCCATGAAACAAATCTGGCCCTGCCAAAAACTGGATTACAACCTAATCATGTTCCAGCCTCTTAAAAATCCAAGCCCAGCTTTCTCTCTGCTCCATAGTTTTGAAATCCGGTTCAGGATTTTGTAGACATTTCCTGCACCACTGTGGCTGCCAGGTGGCATCATGTCAGCGTGTTTAGTCAGGAATAATTTAACATGACTTGATGGCTCGGCCTATTCCAGGGCTGTGTTGCGGAAATGATATTTCTTGTTTCCTTAGTTGGTCCTTGGAGTGCAGGAGCTTTCTGGCCAGAAGGGTGGAAAGGAATTTTTGCTTTGATTTTCATTTCTTTGTTGCTTGACCAAGTTTCCAAAACAGTCTGACGACTTTCTCTCTTTTGTCTATTCACATAGCCTTCCTGTACAGTTAGATTTCAGGCATACTGAGTCATGTAGCGGCAGTGGTCTGCAGGCATTTACACCACACTCTTTGTAAAAAGGGGCTAACTGTTGCAGCCTCTGTCCCTCTCCTAGAACTGTAGGTCTGCAAGCAGGCTAGTGGTCTCCAGCACAGTTCTCTGTACCCTCAAACATGTATTTCTAGGTTTACTGTTTACCTTATAGGGGCAATGCTGGCTCTCACCTTTCAAGGGCTGAGTTTCAGAAATATTTTTATCAGATTGCAGCAGCATTTATGTATATTTGTACAGGATTAAACCCCTCAGGCCAGTCCAGGGATGAGAGGCAATCCTGTACTTTTCCAGTACATTAAGCAACAACCCAAGAGGTAGTCTATACCCTCTCTGGTGTTCAGAACAATGTGCCACCAGAACCTCTTTTCACTAGTCTCTGCCTTTCCTAAGGGAGAGATTCCAAACTCTTAGTTGGCACCTGGGACAGAACACATTAGCAACTCACTCAGAGATGCCCACTCTTACCGAGGTAGCATATGTGGTCAGGGTTAGCCACCAGATTTAGACTTGGAACTCGGGTACAACATCAGAGACCATTTAGAAACAAGAATAATGTTTTATTCATTACAGAGCATTGCAGACAGACTATAAAAGATTACAAAAATAATAAAGGCTAGGGCTGTTTGCCTTAACTAAACATTAATGATTCATAGTTACCAAGTCAGGATATCATCCAAGATTGTCCATTGTGATAATCCAGTTAGCACCAAGGGATTTTGAGTAGGAATCCCATCTTGTGCAAGCATGCATCCAGTTCACAAAGCCACCCTTTGTCCCTCAAGGGCTGCATTTTAGGTGCAATAAAACAAGCAGAGAGAACAGGAGCAGAGAGCAAGAGCTAAGAGAGAGCTCATTCCCATAGGAATCAAACAATTATAGCCCAATTCCAGTCACAAATTAGATGTGGCTATTAGCCAATTGCGAGTGGGCATGGGAGGTGCCCAATTGTTGGTTGTCATAGCTGCGTGTGGGGATAGGCTAGAAGTTTGGAGACCACGCCAGCAGTCACATGACCCAGCTTCTAGCTTCTCCATCACCTACCTGACTTGTTGAATGTGAGGCAGAGCCAGGAGCCATCAGGTCTGCCTCTTCCCTTAGAGGTGTGAAAGAATGTGTGGTTATATGGCATGGTTATAAAGTTTCTCTGGCCAAATGGGCAGGCCATTTGGGCTTGCAAGAGGAAATAAGACACAGCATGTTATCAGAATGTAATCATAGGAGAAGGCATGGATTATAGAAAGCAGAAAGCAAAATTTCTATACAATATTATATTTATTTATTTCCCATGTGTGGGAGGGGCTTTGGCTAAGCGGAAGAGGCTCTGCATGGCATACAGAAGATCCCAGGTTCCATCCCCAACATCTCCCATTAAAAGGACCAGGCAGCAAATGATGTGAAAGACTTAGGGGTCGTTTCGTAGAAAAAGAGCCAGGGGAACTCATTAGCATAACTCATTAGCATATGCCACACCCCCTGACATCACCGGAAGTGTGTCATAAGGCCACACACCCCGCCCCCAACGGTCCCGGCCACCGCCACCGGCCTTGGGGCTCAGCGGTGGATCTGCAAGGCCGGCGGGAGTGCGAGGAAGCCCCACGAAGGCCCTCCCTGGCCCCAGGCAGGCAGGGGTGGGGAGTGGAAGGGAGGAAGCAACTTACCCTCCCTCTTCTCCTGCCTCCTCCTGGCTGAATGAGGGCCGGAAGCGGGGCGGCCGGAAGCAGGGGGCGGGGCTTCGTCATGTGCCCCGCCCCCCGCACCTCACCCGGGGGAACTGTGATCGCCCCCGAAATGACCTCTGGTAAGACCTCTACCTGAGATGCTGGAGAGCTGCTGCCAGTCTGACCTTGTCTACTTTACACAGAGAGTGATTAAAATGTGGAATTAGCTGCCAAAGGATGTAGTGATGGCCACAGGAATAAACAGCTTAAAAGGGGGATTAGAGAGATTCATGAAGAATAGATCTAGCAGTGGCTACTAGCCATGGTGACTAAAGAGAACCTCCATGTTCAGCGGCACTAAACCTCTGAATCCCAGAGCCAGGAGGCAACATCAGGAGAATGCCTCAGCCTCTATGCCCTGTTGTTGGCCCTCCGGAGAAACTGGTTGGCCACTGTGTGAGACAGGATGCTGGACTAGATGGACCACAGGTCTGATCCAGCAGGGCTCTGTTTATGTACTTATGCTGGGCTGATTCAGTATCAGGCAGCTTCATGTATGTTCTGTTTGGAGCCAGGTTGATCTCTGCTTGCTATTTTCTTTACAGGGGTAATGGGATGTGGATTTTTGTTTTGTTTGGGAGGGAAACTTGGAAACCTCCCCCTTTGAGGGTTTCCTTCTACATCGCTACTTCGATCTTTTTCTAGATGCATATTTGACAAATTGTGCTGTTTAAATTTTGTTAATCCTTTCTTCCTGCTTCCTCTGCACCCATCAGCCCGAGAACCTGCTCTATTACAGTCTGGATGAAGACTCCAAAATCATGATCAGTGACTTTGGACTGTCCAAGATTGAAGGCTCTGGCAGCGTCATGGCCACGGCGTGTGGGACTCCTGGCTACGTGGGTGAGCTGCAGAGCCTCTCCCCACTCCCCCCCCGTATGGAAAGGGCAGATCTGGCCTACAAAGAAAATGACTCAGTAGTGTGTGGGATTTTAATAAGGACGCTGGGCCTGGTTTGCCTGCAGCCTGCTCTCCCAGAGGGGAACTATAAGGGCCTCTTTAAAACAGGGGCACTGCTTCTCTGTAGGAAACAGCTTACAAACCACGGGCACACTGTTACACACGAGCATCATCTATGTGTCTGTTGCGTCTTTTGTACATGGGCTGCGAAACTGATTGGCTGCGGCCATCCAGCATGTGTTCTCACGAGAATAATCATTGCACAGAAAATTCTGTACATAGCTTGTGCATATATTTTTTTCTTCTACATGACGGCTACCAGTGTGGGAAGCTTTGTAGTGTCTGAAGCAGCTCTTGCTTAGGAGGCTGAAGTTGGTTCCTTATTCGCACTTCCTTATTCATTCCTTATTCGTTACTTATTCGTGTAGTCATTCAGAAGCACTAGGGAGAGTGAGTTGGAAAGCTCTGAACCCCAAAATAAGGTCAGACCACCACGTATCATATACCCCCACATTCACAGGACTCTCCCCTTTGAGGGGACACATTCTGTGTGCTGGTCCAAAGCACGGTTCTGCTGCCAGCTGCTCCAAAGTGCAGTGCCCCTAGGACAATCACACGAGCAGATTCCTAATGGTATCTCCAGTGCTTCACCTTTCCCATGATCCAACCAATCATCTGACCAAGGCAGGTGCACAATAAGGGGGGGGGGGATGATGTGGTAAATCCAGCAGAGCCACTTCCAAGTCGAGATGGGGGGCTTACATAACCAAATACTCCTCCATGTGAGGAGGACTTCTCTGCGCATAGAACACTAACATGTTAGCGAGAAAGGCAGGCTAGAAGAGTTCTCCTTGTGCTACTTTTCTACGCTGAGATTATTATTATGGCATTTATTGTATGGAGAAATGTTTATTCCTGTGAGCTCCTTTTCGTATTCTGAAGTAGCGCAGCCTGAGTTCAGGTTGACCATGTTACTGAGAACTAGGGCTGGGTTCCCTGTAATAGAGGTGGGAGAAATGGAACTTTCAGGGCAGTTCTAAGAAAAGATACACCATTCTAAGTCCCTTAAGGCCAATGGGCTTACAAGGGAGTACCTTGACTGAGCGTGGCACTGCTAGAAGCCAGGGCTGCGAAGATTAATAAGGGGAGGGAGCTGCACAAGGCTGCCAGACTAGGTTGGGAGGGTGACCCTGTTGGGCTGAGCCAAGATTGGGGGTTTATGTAGGGGAAATGCAGGAGCCGTGCAGTCAACCTCTATGAAGAGATTTACTGGGACAGGAAACCCTAGAGGGAGATTCCTAGTACAGTACAAGAGCTACCTTTGCTAATAAAAACTCAGATCAAGGTCAATAAGTCTTTCGGTTTCTAATGGGGTCGCCTTCTTTCCTCCTCCTTCTCTTTGGTGCGTCTCGTCCAGCGCCTGAAGTGCTGGCACAGAAGCCTTACAGCAAGGCCGTCGACTGCTGGTCTATTGGAGTCATCGCCTACATCTTGTATGTATTGACTTTTGCTGGGAGGCAGGTAGGGAGAAGGAGAGGGCTGGGTGGATGGGCTCTGTCATTACTCCTGAGTGCCCATTTGTCAGAGGAGCGGAACGTCAGGCGATGTCCTGCCCCGTTCGTCTGGGAAGGGCCGTGGCTCAGTGAGAGAGCCTCTGCCTTGCATACAGAAGGTCCCAGGCTCAGTCCCTGGCATCTCCAGTTAAAAGGATCAAGCAGTTGGCGATGTGACCTGAGATCCTGGAGAGCTGCTGCCAGTCAGAGTAGACGACATTGACTTTGATGGATGGGTCTGACTCAGGAAAAGGCACCTTCATGTGTGTTCACATCACTGTTCTGCCCTTTAATTTGTGTGTCCCTTGCTGTGCCACTGCACACAGATTGAGAAGTTTATATTAGGGTCACCTGTGGGGAATTCTCTGGGACATTTCCTTTTCGTACATGTCCAGTGACAGGTACCCAACCTTAGGCTAGAGAAGTTCTTCTGGACTACAGAGCCTTCTTTCAGTTTGTGAGGTTCTTCCATCGGAGGAGCCACTGCTTAAGTTGGAGGAAGGCCTCAAACTTTGCTCAGTGGAAGGGTAGTGTAGACCCCAGTGTCTCGCTGATCTCTCCCTGCTCCCCCACCAGCCTTTTATATGCACAGCCATTTGGTTTCATTCTACACAGAAGCAATGCAGTCTCCATTTTTTTTTGGGGGGGGGGGTTCACCCCACAGGATGTTGCTGTCTCTTTATCAAATATTCTGGTGGGGAGAATTTCACCGATCTGCAGTTTCTTTACTCCAAGTGCTGCTGTGATGGGGAAACTGCATCTTTTTCCTGCAATGTAGCTATTAAGTGCCCAGGAGAACTTCTTTTGGAGCAAGAGTTGGTATCCTTGTAACCAGACTCAAGAGTCTCGTCACTGGAAATCTCGCTTATCCCTGCTGCCCTTTGAGGATTGATCAGCCGTTTCCAAATTTGCATCCATAAAAGTCCTAGAAACTTGCTTTCTTAAAAGAGATTTAAAAAGCTGCACTTTGAGGGTGCTCCCCTGTATATCGAATACAAATTCCATGGCTGCATGAACCATCATCGATTGGGTTGCTAGACCCTCAATGCAGATATAGTGTTTACTTCTTTAAGTGCTCAGAGGCAAATCTGCTGCTATCTGCCTCACCTTCCTTCTGCCCTCTGTTAGGACGAGCAAGGGCCATGGCTTAGTGGCAGGGGCCATGGCTTAGTGGCAGGGGCCATACCTTGTATGCAGAAGTTCCCCGATCCAGCCTCTGGCCTCTCTGTTTTAAAAATGGAACTGAGGTAGCAGGTGCAGCCTGGGAAAGACCCTTCTTTGCCTGAGACTCGAGAGACCCAATGCTAGCCACAACAGACAGTACTCAGCTAGATGAACTGATGGATTAACTCAGCAGTAGGCTGAGTGTAGTGTGTGTTCGATTTTTGCCTCAGAGCAGATTGGGGGGGCGGGGCAAAAGACCAATGAGGTAGGAAATGCCAAAACTGCTTGCTTGGGGTCTCAGGGTACGCACCCTCTCCAGGTGAGGACCTAGTGACCCCAATAAAGCCATGCCTCTCTTGTCTGTAAGCACTATGCCTCCGACCGCTCAACGAGAAAGTAACCTGATCCGTTTTTCTTTCTCTCCTTCCCCCATGCATTTACCTCAGTTCTCCATTCTGTTTGGCCTGCTCCCAGGCTTCCACATTTATCCCACCCCACCTCCCCTCCCTCAGTGCCTTCTAGTCACATGTGCCCTGTCCCCAATCTCTCCCTCAGACTATGCGGCTACCCCCCTTTCTATGACGAGAACGACACCAAGCTCTTTGAGCAAATCCTGAAGGCCGAGTACGAATTTGACTCTCCCTACTGGGATGACATATCAGAATCAGGTGAGAGGAAATCTGAGTGGGGCTGGGCCTGGGAGACACTGGTTGTTATCGCTTGCTCACTTCCCCACTCTTTTTTTTTTAACTTCCAGCCAAAGATTTCATCCGGCATTTAATGGAAAGGGACTCCAAGAAGCGCTTTACCTGTGAGCAGGCACTACAACATCCGTGGTAAGAGAGGACCCATTAGTCATGAACGAATGCGAGGGGTAGGGTAGTGCAGGACTATTTTTGGGCAGGAACGCACAGGAACGGAGTTCTGGCTGGCTTCAGAGTTGGCCACGGCCACTACAGCCAAAACCTCCACGTGCATGGCTACAGAGGGAAGGCCTGGAGAGAGACACACACCCCCAGTGACTCTGAGGCTAGCCGGCCAGGGGGCCCCTGGAAGGATCAGGGAGGCATTTAAATGCCTCCCCATGCCTTCCCTGGCCTGTCCAAGGGCCGGCTAGCCCAGGCTCCCTGCAGCCAAGGGGGGCCTGGGCAAGCCCAGGGAAGGCATGGGGGTGTGGCCTAATATGCTAATGAGTTTCTGCTGTTGGGTGTGGCCTATTATGCTAATGAGTTCCTGCTGGGCTTTTTCTACAAAAAAAGCCCTGGTTTAGTGTATTAGAGTTCAAATCCCCACTCAGTCATGAAGCTCACTGGATGAACTTGGGCCCAGTCACTCTTTCTCAGAAAATTAGTTCACATGGTTGCAGTGAACATAAAATGGAGGAGGAGGAGGAGAATTCTGACTGCCACCCTAAGATCCTTAGAGGAGGGGTAGAACTCTGATATCTAGACAATAGACGGACTCATTTGAGTGGTGTGGAACAAGACTATTTCTTGGTTTCTCTTTGGTCTGTCGAATTGGGAGCATTCATGTCCTGTTGAATGGTAGTGTCCTACCTGATCAGGTTATCATGAGGTTGAATATGTGAAACTGGTATGGGAGAGGGCATAACTTGTTGGTAGATCACAGGGTTTGCAGGCAGGAGTCCATGTTCAGCCCTGACATCTCTTGCTAGCAAGGGATCTCATACAGAAGGACTGGGAAAGCCTTTGTCTCAGGCCTTGGGGATCTGGTGCTCGTCAAGGTAAACTTTACTGAGACAGCTAGATTAGTGGTCTCTTTCAGCATACGGCGGAGCCCATAGCATGGTAGTAGAGGACACATTTTACATGCAGAAGGCCCCAGGTTGAACCCCCAGCAGCTCTGGTTACTTTGGCAACAGGCATCTGGAAAGTCTTTTTTTTCTCTAGCTGTTTTCTCTAGCTGTTTTCACGGCTGTATGGCCGTGGTCTTGGCATTGTAGTACTTGACGTTTTGCCAGCAGCTGTGACTAGCATCCTCAGAGGTAGAACACAGAAAGATGGAGTACTCTCTGTGTCAGTGTGAGAAGAAAAATGGTAGGCTGGTAATTTATATCTACTAGGGTTTCCAAATCCCTTTAACTCACCGGCGGGGGAGGCTCCGTCGGCTCTGGAAACCGGCTCCGGATGCGTGCGCGCGCGCCGCCAGCACGTCAACGGAAGTGACGTGCGACATCACTCACGTTGGGGGCATGGCCCAGATCGATCTGGGCCATGCCCCCGTGAGCGACGTGGCTGCGTCACCTCTGGTGACGCAGCTTTGGGGGGGCGGAGTCCCCCTGGGGCCCGATTCCGCCGCGGCGGAAATTGGGCCTCCAAAGCGGGGTTTTCCCCGCCCCCACTTGGCAGCCCTAATATCTACTCAGGAAGGTGGGGTAGGGCTGAGTCACTATCTTGTAGGAGATTCCCAAGCTGCGACATACTAATGGAGCTTTCCTGAGGAGGTTCTTTTGCATATGGATTGGCTATTGAAATTCTAATCTTATCTGTAGTGCTGTTGTAAAATGTAGAATATTTTGTGTTTTTCAGGACTGGAAACTATGCCCTATTTATTTTTAAACTCTCTTCTTTCCTGTCGAAATTGTGTTTATGTTTATGAATTTCAATGGCTTCCCTGTGTAATCTGACATGGTAATTGGATGGGTTGTCCAGCATTTCAGTGTCTTGGGATAAGATACTGTGTCCTGTTTGAGTTAAGCTATGTTCAGCCACTGCTGATTTTTCAGGTTGGCCAAGTCTTTTTTTTTTCTGCCTGAGAGCTGTTTCTAGTTCAGAGCTGAAAATACTGAGCTAGATGGACCGATGGTCTGACTTTTGTAAGGCAACTTCGTATGTTTATACATCCAGGCTTTTGAGCTCTTTGTGTATGAACAGCCTGGTTCAAAAATACATTTTCATGGAAACATTTCCCACTTAGTACTGGGCAAAATATGAACAGCTGCATATATTAGTAAGCATGCTTAAGGATGTAGCCTCAAAAAGCTACATCATGAGTCACAAAGATACCATCCGGAATGCAGAATCTAGATATCTGGTGCAGGATCTGGATTTCTAAGAATTTCTCATTCTTTTAACCACTTCTTTCTTCACCTCAAGCAGCTGTTTGTGAAGGCTTCAGTAATGAACACAAGGTCTGCACCCGGCATCCTTCCTTTATGATCTTCGGTTACCTTTCCTTATTCATGGAGATGCATTGGACACTTACCCTTAAATTGCTATCATGCTTCCTCTAAGATTCGGACAAAATTGCCTTTTCTTTTTTGGGGGGGGAATCTTGCTGCATACTTTTGTGGCCCATAGTGTCGTGTTGATCAAAATGGGGAGAGAGATAAATAGTTATACCCTAGAAAAGAAACACAAAAATTGGAACTCATTGTAGTTCTGTTAACAGCAGCAAAAACAGTTCTAGCAAAAAAAAAAAAATGGATAGAAAAACATATACCTACAATTCAACAATGGTTTTCCAAAATCTGGGGATTTTTAATTTGGAGCAAACTAGCTTTTCAGACCTCAAACCTTCCTACAAGGATTTTCAATAAAAATGTTGTAGCTGTATGGTTTCCTTTAATTAGTTATATGGCAGAAAACAATATTATACCCCTGTATCAAGAGATGGTATATTTTTAGTTTGTTGTAACAGTATAATTTTAAAGCGATGATATGTCTGTTTTAACTTTTGGAAAAGATACATATGATTTGGGTCTGGTTTTAGTTAATGTTGGTAACCTGCTAATCAGTACTGCGGGCAAAATGGATAGAAAAACATATACCTACAATTCAACAATGGTTTTCCAAAATCTGGGGATTTTTAATTTGGAGCAAACTAGCTTTTCAGACCTCAAACCTTCCTACAAGGATTTTCAATAAAAATGTTGTAGCTGTATGGTTTCCTTTAATTAGTTATATGGCAGAAAACAATATTATACCCCTGTATCAAGAGATGGTATATTTTTAGTTTGTTGTAACAGTATAATTTTAAAGCGATGATATGTCTGTTTTAACTTTTGGAAAAGATACATAAGATTTGGGTCTGGTTTTAGTTAATGTTTGTAACCTGAAAATTGTAAAAAAAATTAAATAAATTAAAAAACGGGATAGAGAGCAAAGTTTTTTCCACATGGTTGTTGTTGTTTTTTGTCCCCTTGGATCGATCCTACTGCAAGTGTTTGTTTATTTGTTTTGTCCACTTTCCTGTGGTATCATACTGCATGCATGTACCTCCTGAGTTTTTCTTGGCTTCTCTCCCATCTTTCCCAAACCTGCTTTGTTGCAAAGGTTCGGAAAAGATAGCAGCTAATCCAGGGCTGCTGTGTGGGCGCAAAAGTCCTGTCTTCCTGTCCCGCCCGTATGAACTACCACCATAGGAAAGCAATACTGATAGCTGAATTCTGAGAGAGAGAAATGACAGTCGCCATGAATCTGGTGCTGTTCATGCGCTTCCTTCTTCATCCCACCCAACCCTGAGAGCATCATGGGGGATGAAGAAAGAGGTGTGATTTCCCCCTCAATCTGTTCATCAGTAAAAAAAAAAAATTGTCCTGAGCTTCCCATCTCTTTGGGAAGTTGAATCTGTTTTAACTTTTGGAAAAGATACATAAGATTTGGGTCTGGTTTTAGTTAATGTTTGTAACCTGAAAATTGTAAAAAAAATTAAATAAATTAAAAAACGGGATAGAGAGCAAAGTTTTTTCCACATGGTTGTTGTTGTTTTTTGTCCCCTTGGATCGATCCTACTGCAAGTGTTTGTTTATTTGTTTTGTCCACTTTCCTGTGGTATCATACTGCATGCATGTACCTCCTGAGTTTTTCTTGGCTTCTCTCCCATCTTTCCCAAACCTGCTTTGTTGCAAAGGTTCGGAAAAGATAGCAGCTAATCCAGGGCTGCTGTGTGGGCGCAAAAGTCCTGTCTTCCTGTCCCGCCCGTATGAACTACCACCATAGGAAAGCAATACTGATAGCTGAATTCTGAGAGAGAGAAATGACAGTCGCCATGAATCTGGTGCTGTTCATGCGCTTCCTTCTTCATCCCACCCAACCCTGAGAGCATCATGGGGGATGAAGAAAGAGGTGTGATTTCCCCCTCAATCTGTTCATCAGTAAAAAAAAAAAATTGTCCTGAGCTTCCCATCTCTTTGGGAAGTTGAAAGTCGGGGGGGGGGGGGTTGGGTTTTCCAAACGTCCCAGGAACATCTGGATCTGAGCAGCCCACGTGATGCTGAAAGGGCTGCTGGTGCTTGGCTTACTCCTGGCCACCAGCACAGCCCTCCAGTACAGCAGCTCAGTGGGGGCTTCTGCCCCTACTGGAAGTGAAAATTGATATATTAGCTCTGCTTGCAGAGTCCAGATTTCCTTGCTGCAGGATTTGGGGAGGATATGGGGGAGGGGCAGATGACCAATGGCAGCAGCTCGTGTGTTTTCCCCCTCCTTCTCGACCCTCCAGCCTCTTGTCAAGCTGCTTTATTGCTAATCAGTACTGGGGGGAGGTCCCTGCAAGGAGCAGCCCTCTTAATGAGAACCAACCTGCTTTCCCTCTCGTTCACAGGATTGCTGGAGACACAGCGTTGGACAAGAACATCCATCAGTCAGTTAGTGAGCAGATCAAAAAGAATTTTGCCAAGAGCAAGTGGAAGGTGAGGATCCCTCACCCCACACCGCCGTTGCCAAACATTAGGCAGTTTTCACACAAAAGGGCCCAAATCGAGTTGTGCTTTAATTAAGACTATACTGTGAACGACAAAGCTGCACTGGCTACGCTAGACGGTACATCCGAGTTCTCTCTTCTATTCTGGTCTCCGCTAATAACATTCCCATGTGCCGTAATATCCAAAAGAGAGGCTTGCATGCATTTCTTAAAAGGGTGGCATGTTTCCAATTGCCTATTTATTTATTTGATTTTATTCAATTTGTAGCCCGCTCTCCCCTGTAAAACAGGGCTCAGAGCGGGTAACATCATTCATAAAAACATTTAATACAGATTTAAAACATTAACAGTTCCCATCCAATAAATACAATAGGCAACATAAAACCAATCCAGTACAATCAATACAGATACAACCCAGTACAATCAGTACAGATACAATCAGCAAACGTAGCTGAAAGATGGTATAAAATACAGGTGGGAGTGAAATTTTTAAAGTCTTTTCCACCCTAACCTGGATGGCCCAGGCTAGCCCGATCTCGTCAGATCTTCGAAGCTAAGCCAGGTCGGCTCTGGTTAGTACTTGGATGGGAGACCACCAAGGAAGTCCAGGGTTGCTATTGCAGAGGCAGGCAATGGCAAACCACCCCTGAACGTCTCTTGCCTTGAAAACCTTATGGGTCGGTGTAAATGGGCTGTGACTTGATGGCAAAAAAGGCACCTTCCAATGGAGGAACAGCTCCTTAAGTTGGAGGAAGACTGGAATGAAAGACAAACTTAACTGCACCCAAAAGCAACCAGTCCTTCTTGTTTCCAGCATACTGTTTGGAGAGTGCTTGTGACAATGCCCCTCCTCTTCCCTGTCCATACGACAGTGTCTCAAGTCAATACGAAGTAACAAGTAATGGAAAATTGCTGCAAACGTGCATACAAATAAATGACAATGATATAAGCACTTAAACTTGTGATGCTCTCATGTTGTTTTAATTCTTGTTTCCAGCATTGAAGCGCCAAACCAACACAATAGTGGCGTGGAGACGAGCGGATTACGAACCTCTCGAGTAACACCGTTCGTTTCGATACAATTCTTTGTCAAAATCTCAATCTTCCATGGTCTTCATATATTACTCTTCACAAAATGGAAATCCTAAATCCCAAATGCTTCCTCAGTGGCTCACAGCATACAGTATCAAAGGTAAACTAGACTGTTTGTCCGATGTAAGTTTACCTTTGATACTGTATGCTGTGAGCCACTGAGGAAGCATTTGGGATTTAGGATTTCTATTTTGTGAAGAGTAATATATGAAGACCATGGAAGATTGAGATTTTGACAAAGAATTGTATCGAAACGAACGGTGTTACTCGAGGAGTTCGTAATCCGCTCGTCTCCACGCCACTATTGTGTTGGTTTGGCGCTTCAATGCTGGAAACAAGAATTAAAACAACATGAGAGCATCACAAGTTTAAGTGCTTATATCATTGTCATTTATTTGTATGCACGTTTGCAGCAATTTTCCATTACTTGTTACTACTAATCTGGGAGAACCAGGTTTATTTATTTATTTATTATTTCATTAATTCAATTTATACCCCGCCCTCCCCGCAAGCGGGCTCAGGGTGGCTTACAGTAGTGGCACCAGTTGCCAATAAAACCATATAAAACATTACTAAACCAATAAAGCCATAAAATCATAAGGTGCTATTAGTTATCCTTACAGTGGCATGCTACATATGTCTCCAACAGCTGAGTTCCAGCTCAGTGTTATTCTGAGTCACTCAGTGGAATGAGCCAGATGTTAGAGCTGAGGGCCAGGCTCATCAATGGTAATAGTGGAGGCGGCTCCTAGTTGAAGGCCTGGTGGAAGAGCTCCGTCTTGCAGGCCCTGCGGAACTGTAAAAGATCCCGCAGGGCCCTGATCTCTTCTGGGAGCTCGTTCCACCAGTAAGGAGCCACCACTGAAAAGGCCCTGGCCCTCGTTGCAGCGAGCCTGGCATCCTTGGGGCCTGGGAGGGTCAACCAATGTTGCGACCCTGACCACAGTGCTCTCTGGGGTATACGTGGGGAAAGGTATGTTGGACCCTGACCATATAGGGCTTTAAAGGTGAGCACCAGCACCTTGAAGCGGTTTCAGTATGCTATTGGCAGCCAGTGCAGGGCCTTCAGCACAGGCTGGATGTGCTCCCATCTAGGTACGCCCATCAGCAGCCTGGCTGCAGCATTCTGCACTAGCTGAAGCTTCCGAATTTGTGACAAGGGCAGCCCCATGTAGAGAGTGTTACAGTAGTCCAGTCTCAAGGTGACTATTGCATGGATCACTGTGGCCAGGTCGTTGTGGTTGAGGAAGGGAACCAACTGCCTAAGATGGTAAAAGGCCAACTTAGCAGTGGCTGCTACCTGGGCTTCCATTGTTAAGGAAGAATCCAGGAGCACTGCCAAGCTCCTAACCTCCGACACTGGCACCAATGGCGCCCCACCGAAGGTCGGGAGTGGGGTCCCCACCCGCGCACCGCCCCAGCCCACACACAGGACCTCCATCTTCGCCGAATTCAATTTCAGCCGACTCAGCCTGAGCCAACCAGCCATGGCCTATAATGCCCGGTCCAAATCTTCAGGACTGGAGTTCGATCAGCCGCCCAACATCAGATAGAGCTGGGTGTCATCAGCGTACTGGTGACATCCCAGCCCATGACTCCAGGCCATCTGGGCAAGGAGGTGCATATAGATGTTAAATAACATCGGGGAGAGCACTGCCCCTTGAGGCACTCTGCACTCCAGCGGGTGTCTCCTGGACTGCTGCCCCCCAAGTGCCACCCTTTGTCCCCGACCTTGGAGAAAGGAAGCAAGCCATTGCAAGGCAAGCCCCTGAATTCCCATGTCGGCGAGGCGGTGAAGCAGCAGTGTCAAATGCAGCGACAGGTCCAACAACAGCAGTACCACCCCAATCCAGATGCCTCTGGAGATCGTCAGTCAGGGTGACCAGTGCCGTCTCCTTTCAGCCGGACTGAAAGGGATCTAACGTGGAAGTGTCATCCATAAAGCCCTGTAACTGTATCGCCACTGCCCTCTCAATTAATTTGCCCAAATAGGGCAGATTTATTTATTGGAGACCGGCCAGTAATTAGCCAATTCGGCTGGGTCCAGAGATGGTTTTTTTAGGAGTGGGTGGACCATCGCCTCCTTGAGTGCCCCTGGGAACAGCCCCTCCAAGTGGGACTTGTTGATAATTTCCCTCAGGGCACCTCGAAACCCCTCATGGCCCGCTTTAATGAGCCAGGAAGGGCACGGATCAAGGCTGCATGTGGTTGGACGTACGGTCAAGAGCAATCTGTTGACTTCCTCCAGGCTGAGTGGGCCGAAATGATCCAGAACCAAAACTGAAGACGTGCTTGGGGTCTCGAGCTCACTCACTGTTTCAACTGTGGCGGGGAGGTCGCGGCGGAGCGACAAGACTTTATCCACGAAATAGCTCACAAATGCCTCACAGCCAATGTCCAATTCTCTAGTGTTTGGTCTGCCCTGTGGCAGAGCTGTTATACACCGAATCGTTCTAAACAGTTGGGCTGGGCGCGAGTTTGCAGATGCAACTGTAGCCGATTTGATTCCCCACTCCTCCACATACAACTGCTGGTGTGACCTTGGGTCAGTCATAAGTTCTCTCAGAGCTGTTCTTTCAAGGGCGGTCGGTCATAAGTTCTCTCAGAGCTGTTCTTTCAAGGGCAGTTCTCAAGAGAGCTCTCTCAGCCCCACCTACCTCACAGGGTGTCTGTTGTGGGGAAGGGAAGGGAAAGGAGATTGTAAGCCACTCTGAGTGAAGGGCGGGGAATAAATCCAATCTCCTCTTCTTCTTCTTCTTCACACATCCTCAGCCTAATCTCTTTTTGTTGTTGGGAAGATAATATGGAGGATGGGAGAACCATGTTAAGGGATAGCAGGATTCTTTCTTTACATTTATACCCCACCTTTCTTCCCAGCAGGGGGATCAAAGTGGCATAAATCACTCCTCTCTCTCGTCCACTTTATCCTCACAAGAACCCTGTGATGTAGGTTAGGCTGACTGTGGGTGACTGGCCCAAGGTCATCCAGCAAGCAGAGCCGGGATTCGAACATGGGGCTCCCCGATCCTAACACTCTAACCACTAAACCACACTGCCTAAATATGTAATAGACATAACTAGATACAGAAAGCATATTTATAATTCTGTCTTGCCAGCCTGTAATGCTGAAGGGGTGTGGAGAAAATGGAGGTCTGAAGACAGTGTCTCCCTTAATTCCTTCCATGTTTCCATAGGTACACTGGTAGAAACTGGAGCATCCAGTTCCATAATATGGGTTGTGCATCTTCTCACTTTCTCTCCCATTTGCCATCGGGTCTCCTTTGCTACTTTCACATTTGTCTGCCTTTTAACAAAATTCTTTGTAGCAAGCCTTCAACGCAACCGCGGTGGTGAGGCATATGAGGAGGCTACAGCTGGGAACCAGCCAAGATGGACCTGGTCAAGCCATGCAGGAGAGCAACGGTGAGAGGCTGGAGCAGTCCCACTTGGGGGGGGGGGGGCTCAGGTTTTCCCTTCACTGTCCTGGCGTGGCCCAGAGCTAGGGCTGAAACAGCACGGCGCTCAGGACCTCCCCTCAGAATTCCCCCTTGGGAATCTTAATGTTCTGTGACTGTTCGATCCCAGCGTTCAATGACATTTCGCTTCCATATTTTGATATCTGACTCTTGAGGTGCCAAGAAGGTTTGAACGCGGAGGTAAGAATTGACATCCAGCATTCAAACGCCGAGTATCTTGTTTTTGAAGTCTGCAGTGCAAAACATTCCAAGGATTAATCGGTTTTTGCACGTGTGCCAAGTTTGTGTTTCAGATTTACCTCAGCCCCACCCCTGCCTTCCTAAGTTAGTACATGTCTGGTTCCCATCTGCTTTTTCAGGAGACGCTTACGGGCAGAATAACTTGAAAGTGGCATGGAGTGTGGGTAATAAGTGTAGGTAATAAGACCAGAGGGAAGGGACATGTCCTGTGAAAAGTAGATTACTACCATGTCTGTATAGGGATTCACTCACAACAATTGACCCGAAACCAGCCAATTTAGATAGAACTCATAGAACTGACCACCTCTGCTTCTGGACAGAATTCAAAGATTTCATTTTGATCCCTTTTCTCATAGCTTTATAGGTAACTGGGAGTTCTCCTGCACCCATATGGACTTTCCCAAGTAAGGCTCTGACTTTCCCAAGTGAGGACATAAGAGCAGCCACAGTGGTCCATGCAGTGAAGAGTCAGGCACCATAAAGGTAAAGGTAAAGGTTCCCTTGCTCGAAAGCCAGTCGAATCAGACTCTAGGGTTGCGGTGCTCATCTCCGTTTCAAAGCCGAAGAGCCAGCACTGTCCAAAGATGTTTCCGTGGTCATGTGGCCGGCATGACTAAACACCAAGGCGCACGGAACGCTGTTACCTTCCCACCAAAGTGGTACCTATTTATCTACTTGCAATTTCTTGCTTTCGAACTGCTAGGTTGGCAGGAGCTGGGGCCAGAGACGGGAGCTCACTCCGTCATGCGACACACTCTGGTCTCAAACTGCTGAACTACTGACCTTCCACAGCCTGCAGTTCAGCGTCTTAACCACTTGAGCCACCGCAGCTCCTTCAGGCACCATAGGGGAGCACAAAATAAAGGCATGCAGGCAGCTGCCCTCACCTACTGTTCCCCAGCATCTAACAGTCAGAAGTTTCAATCACCATCCTGGTTAATGGTCAATGCTGGGCCTGCCCTCCATGGATCTGCCCAACCGCCTTTTAAACAACTTCTGGAAGTGGTTGAGTTGGGTGGCTGTCTTGTGGCGGTGCCCCATTTATGGAAGCTCTTCCACGGTATAATTGTTTCGTGCCTACTTTAAAGAAAAAAATAATTTTCCGTTTTACCCCATTTTTAGTGGCTTTTGATTTTGCTGTTGTGTTTTTTAAAAAAATCCATATGAGGCCCTGACCTGGATGGCCCAGCCTCGTCAAATCTCAGAAGCTAAGCAGGGTTTGGCCCTGACCAGTATTTGTATGGGAGACCACCAAGGAACTCCAGGGTCTCTATACAGAGGCAGGCAACAGCAACCCCCCTCTATTCATCTCTTGCTTTGAAAACCCTGTGGGGTCACCGTCAGTCAGCCATGACTTGACAGCAAAATAAATAAATTAACTAATTAATTAAGAATGCGGAAGGTCCCTGGATACTAAGTGACAGACGGGGCTGTGGCTCAAAGGCAGAGCTCCTGCCTTGCATACAGAAAACCCCTGGTGGAATCCCCAGAATCCTCCAGTTAAAAGGATCCCATAGTAGGTGGTATTTAAGTCCCGAGACCCTGAAAAGCTGCTGTCAGTCAAAGTAAATACCGACCTTGGAGGACCAATGGGCTGACTCGGTATAAGGGAGCTTTGTGTTACAGGCTTACTGGTCGTGACTGGCCCTGACAGACCCTTGTCTCTTCTTCTGCTTCAGGTTCCAGTAGCAGCGAGGAGTCCTTGGGGAATGGCTCTCACCGTCAACCTGAAGCCTGAGCCTTCATCAGGGGACAGAGGAACCAACAGCAGTGCCAGCACCTACCCCCAGCGGGGTGGGCCCAACTCCAAGCCCAACTCCACCATGCTGCCACAAGCAGAGCCAGGGAAGGGTCTGGGACTGCCACGACACCCCTCCCTCCCAGCAAAGAGTGGCTGCACCCCGTGGCAGGGGAATGGAAAGTTCCCCCTGTTAAGGATATCACCCTCCCAAACCTGGAGATGGGAGCTGATCCGCCATACGCCACACGCTTTCGTGGAGATGCTTCTCCCGTCCATTCGTCCCACCACAAATTGGCCCACCGCTGGCCCCCAGCCGACAGGACCTGCCTGAGCCCTGTGCTCACCCCTCAACCCAAGCCAAAAATGAAACCCTTCTCCTTGCACTCCATCATGTGGTTGCCAAAGAAAGAAAGAAAACGCCCCAAAGTCCATTCAGGCCCCTTCACAACACAGGTCCCGGTAGGGATGCAGATCCATGGATCTGGAAGACACCCAAAAAGGAAAGGCGAGAAAATCCACCCCACCTCCCAACTGACTCACGCAGTCCAGACCAAAGCGGAGACCAGCAGCATAGTATGAAGAGTTCCACGGGGCCAGCCCTTCCAGGTGGAATGTCACATGCCTAGCCGGGGGAGAGGAGGCCGCTTTGTTTATTGGGGGAGCAGCTGTTCTGTCTTGCAGCAAGGGCTCGATCTGGGGAAGGGTGTGTGCATTTCTGCCTCCACCTAACAGAAATGGAAGTAGGCAGAAGGGGCATCGCTTTGGTAGAGCCCAGCTGTACCTCTGCTTGATGGTATTTGGCTGCCTGTGGGTGAAAACTGGTAATTGTTAAGACTGGCAGTATGCTAGCATTATCTACTCCCTCCAAACAAGTGAACTCTAGAACCAGTTCTGCAGATTTTCAGTGTGGTTTGGGTTGAACCGGATTATGGTAGGCACCTATTGGCTGGTGCCCATAACATCACCCCAACACCTCCCACCCCAACACACAGTTTTGCAGCTGTTTTTAAAATGTTTTGTGGATTTTATTAGGTGGGGGGGGGAATTTAGTGTGCATCTTCCAACAACTTTTTTTTTAATTGGACATCTCAAGTACTAGAGGGGAGAAAAGTGAGGGCTGACAGTTCCTTGGCTTGGGAAGCAATTCAGCGATCCAGTGAAGCTGAGTATGCTTGTTATACCGGTCTGCAAAGCTGGATTCGCACTGTGGGCAAAGATCCCACTGTGTGACTGCTCTGAAAATGCTATGTCTGTCTTCACCCACTCTGGTCCTGGCACCACCCATCTGGCAGAACCCGGATCCTTCCTATATCGTCCAGCCCCCAGCCCTCCTTTTTTGCTCCCCATTGTGCTCTCTCGTCCTCTTACCCTCTCGGTGCAAGCGGAACTTTCTAACTTGAAGTTTCTTATTTTGTTGCTTGTTCTTGTATTAAAAGGAAGTGTGCTTGGTTTTATCCACTTCATCTATGTGTGTGAAAGGGGGAGGAGGGGGAAGGAGGAAGTCGCCACAGATTCCACAACACCCAGGCTACAGAGCATTTCTGGACCTCGTGTCTAAAGGACAAAGGAGGCTTCACAAGAGAGGCTTAGAGAAGCAAACACTTTATTATTACCATGTGTAACACCTAGAAGTAGACAAAGCACTTTATAAATAACACAGAGCAGTCCAGAAATGAGGCGGAGAACCAGGCATGGTCTATACCTGAAGCAGAATAGGGCGGGACCGCAGGGGCAGAAGGCTGAAGGGACAGAATGGACTGTCACACTAAAGAGGAGGGAACTATCTTGTTTTCAAAAGAGGTCCTACTTTAATAATCCTCTGTTAAGTGGAAAACTGGCACAGAATGTGATGGGCTAATTTCCCCCCACAGGTAGGTTTTAAATTGGAGAGCATTTAGAATGTGACCCCCTTCCCTGTCTGAAGTGGTACAGCCCATTCTACCATCTCAGAATTTCATCACTGTGATAAATCACTCCGAATTCATGCACTGAACGAGCTTGGCCTACACAGGCAACAGAATGAGGTGATACTGAGGGGACAGAGTGCTGAGGGTCATAGAATGAGGTGGCAGAATACAGCTGTACCACTTCAGACTGGGGGGGGGGGGAGGGTCGCATACTTAATGATCCTCTGTGTAAAAAAACATCCTCCATATTAACAAAGGCCCCAGTGCTAATGTTTCACCTTTGTGAAATTATTAATCCAGAAGAATTTTGAAAAACGTCTCTCCCCTGCAATCTGAAGTGCTACAGCCCATTATACCACCTTGTTCTGTGGTACGTGTAGACCAGTCTTCTGCCTATGTGGATAGCGGTGGACTAATGGTAAAAATACAATCTCTGGCACGGGTCTGTTAAAGTTGCGTGTTTTTGAAGTCCACTGATTCAAGCATCTCCTCAAATCTTTTCCTTACACCAGTAGGACAAAACTGCTTTAACTTTGACCAGACTATGCCCACCATTTGGTTTACATAATTCATAATCTAAAACTTCATCATTAAAAACAGAATGCATCATCGAGAAGGATAAGAGATAAAGGAAGAAACAGGGAGGGGGGGGGGGGGATGCACACACAACTACAACGTGGACCAAATATGAATAGCATTTCGCCATCGTGAGAAGGAAAGGAAAAAGTATGAAGGTATTTGATCGAACAAATCTTAGCTACAATACAGAGGTGATAATAAAATGAATGAAGAGCCCCAACTTCAATGTAATGAGAAATCTTTACTCTGCCCTCTAAAAGAAGTAAGAGTAGATCTAAAGCCCAAAGACAGATGCCACAGTAACCATACAGATAAACCTATGAGGCAGCCATATACTCTGTCAGAAGATGGTTGGCCCATTTTGCCTCATATTTTCTGCTCGTGTTTGGCAGATGTCTTAGATCAATAATCCTCCTACCAGAGGTCATTTGATCTGGAGATGCCATAGATTGAATCTGGGACAGTACATAGAAAGCACGAGCCCTGCTGTTGAGATCCCAGGATACGAAAGGAAGGCATATTTTACAAGATGAGAAAGAGCGCTTCTGGAGATGGCTTCCCCAGCAACGAGTGGCCAACAATCTGGAGATGCCATAGATTGAATCTGGGACAGTACATAGAAAGCACGAGCCCTGCTGTTGAGATCCCAGGATACGAAAGGAAGGCATATTTTACAAGATGAGAAAGAGCGCTTCTGGAGATGGCTTCCCCAGCAACGAGTGGCCAACGTAGCATCAGATCAGAAGCGGGGCAAGAGGGCTTTGTACGGATGAGGCTTTGGCACAATGATAGCCATGTCGTCACCTGGGCTGCCAGCAAGCAACCTGAAGAGTTACACTGTCCACCCTATGTGGACTGCAGCGGAGCCCTTCTCAGAGTGCTGGCTGCCTGCAAAAGCACATTGGCCCGATCCAGCTAAAGCGAGTCATGAACAAATCTCACAGAAAACGACGGGTCAGTTGCGACTAACGGGTTCCACTCTTTTCTAAGAACTTTAGACATGATTGACTTAAGCTGAATTGGGGCCAGCATCAGACGTACTCAGAGGGCAGAAAGACAGAACATGGCCAAGACTGGGGATGGCCAACTTTTATACTATCCTCATAACCCCCCCGAATTCCCCAGACAGCACCCCGTTGGCATGTAGGTATAGTTTTCCATATTGACCCCTCTCAATCTGTCTGGCACCATGATAAACGTTGATGCCGTCTAGGACTTTATAGCGCACTTGACAAAACAAGCGTAAACATGTATACATTTACATACAGAAAGAGAGAGAGATGTACCATTAAAATGTAGAACCACCTGAAAACAAACATTACTCATGAAAATGGGGCACATGTCTTTAACCACACCATACCTTGAATGTCATGAGGCTCAGGGGTTAAATGAAATCCTTCAA